CGGTTCCAAGGCTCGAAGAACCCAAGCCGGATGAGTACGAGGGCAGCCGTCGTTTGAGGAATTTTCGGGCTTGATGCTTGAAAACTCGGACCTCTCCCCAAGGAGGTCAAATGGACGCCTAGCAAAGGCCGTTTCAAGGGCGTGAACGGTGAATCGACAGGTCTTATGGGCGAAGCAAGGGACGTGCCTCTTAAAATTGGCAACTAGTCAAGTACGGCTAATTTCTCCATTGCACCCATGGACGATTACGGTCTTGTGTTCGGCATGGAGTTTTTAGACCAGGTGAAGCCGTTCATCGTGCTTAGCAACGACACGATCGTGATCCTTTAAGGAGAGAAGCCTTGTGTGGTGAAGTTTAGGCGGGAAAACGGGATTAGCCCTTCCCAGCTGAACAAGGGGCTAAAAAAGGGTGAACACACCTTTGCCACCATGGTGTTTCAGAAGGAACCATGCACGGAGGAGCCGGCAAAGGAGGAACGGATCCTGCCTCCCACAGAATGGGTCCTTGTTGAGTTCAAGGACGTTATGCCGACGAATTGCTCAAGGGTTTTCCACCAAGGAGGGAGATTGATCATGCTATCGAGTTGGTGGACGGGGCGAAACCGGTAGCCAAGGTGCCTTATCGTATGTCCCCTAGCGAGCTAGAGTAACTCAAGGTGCAAATCAAGGAGCTACTTGAATCGGGTCATGCACGACCGTCCAAGAGTCCTTGGGGTGCATCAGCTTTGTTTCGATGCAAGAAGGACAGAATGCTACGTTTGTGCATCGACTATCGGGCTTTGAACAAGCTGACCGTGAAGAACAAGCAGCCTATCCCTCTTATAGTGGACTTGTTTGATCGGTTACAACGGGCAAGGATCTTTTCCAAGTTGGACTTGCGGAAGGGATATTATCAAGTGCGCATAGCACCCGATGATGAACCAAAAACGACCATGGTGATGAGGTATGGCTCTTATGAGTTTCTTGTTATGCCATTCGGTTTAACTAACACCCCAGCCACGTTTTTTCACTTTAATGCAACGTTTGCTTACCGATTTCATTGATAAGTTTGTTGTAATATACTTGGATGACATCGTTATCTATAGCAACACTATGAAGGAGCATGTGGAGCATCTTAGGGCCATTTTCCAAGTTCTTAGGGAGAATGAGCTCTTTGTCAAACGGGAGAAATGCTCCTTTGGCCTTGAGGAGGTGCCGTTCCTAGGGCACATCATCGGTGGGGGCCAAATCCGCATGGATCCGGCCAAGATTAAGGCTATCGTGGAATGGGAGGCACCCACGAAGCCGACAGAACTGAGATCGTTCTTGGGGTTGTTAATTACTATAGGCGGTTCACTGAGGGGCACTCCGCCATAGCCGCTCCGTTAACGGATCTCTTGAAGAAGGGGCAAGCATGGTGTTGGACTCCTAAGCACCAAACGACGTTTGAAGCCCTGAAGGACGCCGTCACTCGAGAGCTGGTCTTGGTTCTCCCTGATTTTGAGAAGCCATTCGAGGTGTGTACGGACGCTTCGGACTTCGCCATAGGGGGCCTTCTGATGCAAGACGGTCACCCAATTGCCTATTAAAGTCGCAAGTTGAACGAGATCGAGAAAAGGTGGTCGACGCACGAGAAGGAGATGTTGGCAATAGTTCATTGCCTTAGAGTTTGGGAGCATTACTTGAAGGCAGCAACGCCGTTCAAAATCAAGACGGACAATCGGGCAGTGAGCTACCATCAAAGCCAATCCAAGCTTTCTTGCAAGCAAGCACGTTGGTTGGACTTCTTGGCCGAGTTTAAGTATGAGCTAGAATACAGCCTGGGGAAGACTAACCATGTGGCAGACGCTCTAAGCCGAAAGGTGTGTCTTACTCCAATCGTTAGCATACCCGAGGGGACATTGCTTGATTGTATCAAGAAGGGTCTTGAGTATGACCGTCAAGCCCAAAGGTTCATGGAGCTCGTGAAGGAGGGCAAGACGACACGGTTTTGGCTTCAAGATGGGATACTTTATGCCAAGGGGAACTGTTTGTACGTGCTCGCATGGGATGGACTTAGAAGGGAGATCCTAAGGGATTGCCATGATAGCCGTTATATGGGTCACCCAGGTACGCATCGTACACTTGCTTTGGTTCATTAACGGTTCTATTGGCCTCGCATGCGGGAAGATGTGGAGACCTATGTAAGGACTTGCCTCGTTTGCCAACAAGATAAGACCGAGCAAGATCACCTGCATGGCTTGCTATCACCTTTGCCTATTCTGGAACGCCCGTGGGACAGTGTTTCTATGGACTTCATTGTGAGTTTGCTCGTTTCCGAGGGTTGCGCCAACATCCTTGTTGTGATGGACTGTTTGTCTAAATATGTGGTCTTTATACCAGCCCCAAAGGAGTGCATCGCGGAGATAATGGCCAAGCTCTTTCTTAGGCATGTGGTGAATTATTGGGGGCTGCCTACATCTATCATAAGCCACAGGGACTCAAGGTTCACTGTCCATTTTTGCAAGAACTCTTTCGTTTGCTTGGGACGGAGCTCAAGATGTCTACATTTTTGCACCCGCAAACGGATGGGTAGATGGAGCGCATCAACGGTCTCTTGGAGGTGTACCTTAGGCACTATGTGGCAGCCAACTAGAAAGATTGGGAACATTTGCTAGACGTTGCCCAATTTTCCTATAACTTGATGCGGAGCCAGAGCATGGGCAAGAGTCCGTTTGAGATTGTCCTTGGTTTCCAACCGACTACACCTAAGGACATCCTTGGGGGATACAAGGGCAATAGCCCTCCCACATACAAGTTTGCCAAGGATTTGCAAGAATGGGCCGACGAGGCGAAGCTCTACTTGGAGAAGTCGGTCCGCGCGCATGAAGAAATAGGCGGACAAGAAACGGAGCCGTCGCGAGTTTGAAGAAGGCGACCAAGTCTTGGTGAAACTTTATGAGCATGGACGGAGCCATGGCCTTCACAAGGAACTCATGTGCAGGTACGAGGGTCCTTTCACCGTTCTTAAGAAAGTAGGTTCCGTTGCTTATAAGTTGGAGCTACCCAAGACCTTTTCAAGGCTTCATCCGGTCTTTCATGTGAGCCTACTTAAGCCTTACCGCAAGGACCCAGAGGATGAAGAACGGAACGTTTCCTCAAGGGCACCCGCTGGCGTATACAAGCACGAGGAACGGACCGCGGAGGAGATCCTTTCTAAGAGGATCGTTCGAGGCAAGAACAGGGCAGCAACTACAGAATACTTGGTGACATGGAAGGGTTTGCCAATGAGCTAGACGAGTTGGGAGCCGGTCGAGAAGCTTTGGCGATTCACCAAGTTGATCGAGGACTTTGAGGAGAATCTTGCACCCGTTCCCATCAACATTTCCTTCGAGTCTTAGCATGCATCAGGACGATGCACCGCTTTGGTGGGGGAGGATGTCACGGTCGTTTCCTGTTTCTCGGGTCAACCGGCCTTTCCCACATTCTTGTGTGGTTTGCTGGTTAGCTGGGCCGTTTCCTTAGACAGGACAAGGCACAGGTCGAGCTAGGGCTTGCTGGAATTCTCCGGTCAAGCCTAGACAGAATTAGAATTCCCTAGGAGTCGGACGTTGCTGGAAATGTAAGGAAGCTACCCGTGTTTTGCTGGAACAGACTAGGACGGGTTGGAGCTTTCTAGAGACTTATGAAATTCTATGGAATTCCACACTTATAATATTCTAGTCCTAGAATTCTCTACATAGCTATTATTTTATTCTTTGTATAGAATTCTCTAGAATTCTCATGGACTTAGCCTATAAATACCCCAAGCCTCCCTCATTTTTAACCATCCAAGCTTTGAGTAAGTTTCTCAAGCATTCCTTAAGCTCTCTTGTGGCTACATTGTTGTTTCATTTCCAAGCTTTCTTAAGCGTTCGTTTGCCTACGTTCTTAAGTTTTCTTGCATAGATTTGCACGTTTAAGGGGTCAAGGTTGAGCTAGCACATTCATCGTTGGTGGTTTTAGTGCTAGTGCCGCACGGCCATTACTTTGAAAAAGTAAGCCCGTGACACACTGATGATACTCTTGTCCCGGTCAGATATAACACACACAGGACGGTTGTTTATAACATGATTCCTCAAATGCTTCAAGAAGAATGTCCAACTTTCCTCACTCTCCTCATCCACGATCGCATATGCAATTGGCGGGATGGCTTATTCGCAGTTTTGACCATTGCAGCGAGTAACTTCCCTTTGTATTCGCCACGCAAGTACGTTTTACTAATAACCAGAGGACATTTAGAAAAACAACCAATTGCAAGCTTGAATGCCCAAAAAACTTATTTGAACGTCCTTTCTGTATTGATCCAACCCGGTTGCCATTCCCTCTCTACAACTGTGCCGAGGTTGCGCTTCTGAAGGGTGGCAAAAAAACTAAATATAAAAAAATAAATTAATGCTTATTTTAAAAGAAAATTACAAACAAATCAAATAAATTAGATAGGGCTTAAGTAAATACCTTGGAAGTATGTCAAAATTGGAAACTCAGTCGTCGTAAACAAGATCGGTAGCTTTTCTCCTTTCCTCCCATGCCCTGTGGTAAGGAACATCGACATGTATACGTTCTTTCACTTCTTTCGAAACGAGCTTCACTTCATAATCCGGGTCCAACTCAACCTTATTCCTTATGAGATGAGCAATAAGTGTTGCGCTCACATTTCGATTATTGTTTTTCGGGGTGATATTCATACAATTGTGCTTGGACACCCATGTCACAATCTCCCACAAACCGTGGTCTTTCAAGGAGTCACGTACCTTCCAACAACAAGGAACATAACCCTCAGGGGTTGACTCTTTTAGGGATTTGCACCAAATATACCATGTATTGCCATCACTTTCCTTCACATAATACTCTCTTTTTTGCTCTATGTTCCACGCTTCTATACCATTTTTTGCATTGATCTTGTTCTTAAAACACGTGTCTTTCCCAATTGTTGCGATTATCCCATTCCACATAGTAAGCTGAAATTCATCCTTGTCCACTGTCGTATGATCCCATTTACGCTATGAATGATATATGTGCCTGTCACTTGTGGCAAAATTGTCTTCAACCTCTTTATCACTCTCCCGACTGCCTTCGGATATTGGTTGGTGTTCATTGCTTTGTTCACTTATCGATGTGTAGTCCTCATCATCCAATTCATCATCTTCCACGTGATTATCTTCCATGTGATCGCCATTCTCCATATTCGGCCCACCACTACTTGTCCCTACTTCCAAATGAGACCTAGAAGTACCTGCCACCTGCAAATCCACATACAAATCAGAATATGTCGAATTTAGAAGGAAATACAAGACTTGCAATGATGCGTCGTCCTTCATTTTGGCAATACGCCTAAAACTATTGCCCATCGTATCATACAAAATTGAGAGACTCAAATTCACATTCCCTCTATTCCACCAAGCTCTTTCACAAATCAATCCAACCAAATCATATATGATACCTTTTGATCAATCAAAATGGAATCGTCCCGCAAGTTGTTAAAAGTATTCACAATCCCATTCTTCTCAACATATTTGCTCGACCAATAGACATTAATGAAATATGGACCGTCAAACGCCATTTATATCTGTTGATTACATAAATTAAAGCACATTTGTGAACAAATTATTACCAAAAATACTCAAACAAGGCATAATCAAACAAATTATTATAAAAAATACCACAAACACGGCATAATCAACACCAAAATTTACTAAACCCCCTAAAAATTCAAAAGTTTAGGGCAAATTCAAGCATTTTACTAAATTGAACGTTCAATACCACATATACAACAACAAGAATCACCAACTAAACCCAACATCAACCCTAAAACCTTATAAACATTCCTAGTTCTACACTTCTACAAAAAAAAATAAAAAAAATAACAATAATCTAAAAACAACAAAAAAATAACTAACCTTCTTGTGAAATGGATTTAAGACATTCGTTGCGAGGAATCATGAACAAAATCTTCAAATCGCCTCCTCCTTCAAGAAAAATGAAGAATCTTGATGAGTAAATAGTGTTTTTCATTTCTCCATTATATCACAAAAAGGTCGGATTTGTAAAATCTGATTTTATTAGTAAAGTCGGATATTCGAAATCCGACCTACAGATAAATTCGGATTTGTTAAATTCGACCTTTTGCCCGCCAATTCCCTCCATTGAATGCAAATATCTACCAGTTTGTGTGCTTAAATAAAGTCGGATTTCAGGAATCCGATCTTGTACTATTCGATATTTTCAAATCTCCCGCCTTTATTTATTTTTTATTAGAAAACAGAATGTCGGATTTTGTAAATCTGACCTTGCACTGTTCATTGTTTGACCGTTATTTCAATTTTTTCTGCATGTATTTTCCAATAAAAAAATATTATTTTATTAGGTCAGATTTAGAAAATTCGATTTACTAATTTAATTAACAAATCAGATTTTTTAAATCCGATCTTGGTATTTTTCCTTACAAAAAATAAATAAATTTCTCTACTCCTTTTTTTAGACAATTTTTAAACCAAAGCACCCGTATTTTGTGGTTGTATATTTTGCAAGGAAGTTTGAATAATATGTGTTTTAACTTTTTATGATTATTTATTATAAGTGTTTATTTCATTACAAACGTAAAATTATGTCTTTGGAATTTTTTTTCCTCCAAGAAAACTCCACATTGTGTTTTGAGATTTGCATTAAAATTTTATATTGACTTTTGAGGTTTTTAGTAAATAACATTTTTTCAGGAACTACATCTACAACATCGTGATTTAACCATATAAATTCCTAACAAAAGTTCATCGTTTTAAAGACAAAATGAGTATGAATTCAATGCACTTGCCATGAGAAAAAAAAAGTGTGCTACTCTTCTTCTATTGTTGCCTACGAAAAGTAGTGTTGCGATTGATCTGTAAAGTTTATAGGGAAAAACCTTATCTCCACGATTTATTGGTTGTCACCGGCCCTCTTTTCCCGCACAAGAAGACCCGAGACAACTAAACACCTCAACCCTAGACAAGCACCTAGCTGAACCTGGCAAACAGAAAACCCGGGACAAGCAGATAGCTTACCCGAGAAATGCAGCAAAACAAGGGAATTAAGGCACTCAGCTCACCCAAGAAATGCAGCAAATGGAAGCCGAAGGTAAAACAGGAACCGAGTAAATAAGGAAAACTCGGGAAAATATGAAACGGGAGAGAAAGGGACTCGAGATTTATAAGCCATAATCTGGCTAAACCTCGTATTATAACTCAAAACACAAGGAAATGTTCTAGAACTCAAGAAGGCTTACAACTCTCAAGCTCTCTATGCCTTCAAATGAGCCAATGCTCTCTATTTATACAAGAATGGGGAGGAAACTCCTTTACATGCATCACACCAAGTGTCTATCATGCATAAAGGCTACAAAGAACAACATGCATTGGTACACAATGGAAAACATGCAAGCATACACCTTGGCAGCAACTCTAGCTTGCAAGCATACACCTAGTCTAGCATGCACTCATCCACAGTGTACAAATGAATTCCGCGGCTTCTAGAAGCTCTCAGTTCCTTTCAGCAAACCGGACAAATGGATTGCACCCGGGGGCCGTGTTGTAATGTTGTTTAAACTCAGCTCGGGTTCCTACACTTAACCGTCTCACGCGATTATCCCGCATTCCCGCATAAGGGTCTGGTGGGTTGTCGAAGCCCCCAAAATAATTTACCAACTTAAACTGTAGATAGGATAAGTCAGGTCGATCCCACAGGGACGGTTAAACTTCAAATAACCGGAAAACAAACAAGAACACAATAGTTGCAGAGTGTCACTCACTTGCACGAGTGGTAAAGTCACTCACATAAGTGGCTCTGCAGAACTGAAAACAAACAAAGACAAATGAAACCTCACTCACGGGAGTGAGAATTCCGACCCAAGGGACTGACTCAACAAACTGGATATTCATTCTCTTTTTCCTATGTAATCAAATTGTAATCTTACACTCTTTTGGTATGAATTCATCCTCATTCAGGCACTTATATATCTCTAAGTCACTTTCGATTTTTCCTAGAGGCATCTTTATCAACTCAATTAAATTATTTTCCAATGATTAATCAAGTCATAAAGTCATGAAGTTTTCAAGCCTTATATGAATGCTTATGCTAACCAAGTATATTCCTATCTCAATTAGAACCTTGGATTGTTACCTCCAAGTCATAAGTTGAAGCTAAACGATTCTGAACCTTGTTTACCCTTCCGGGATTCACTTAGTTCTATGCACAATCAATCAAATGGCCAATTTAATCAAGAGGTGGATGAAAGCTTTAACTTCAAAACACAAAATAATCCGAATGCAATCACAAACTTAAACTACATAGGTTCCAGAGAATGAAATTTAATTAACTACACATACAAACTACAGAAAATACAAGAAAAGAAGAAAAGCATGGAGAAGAAGCAAATCTGGATGGCTGAGCAACAGGTCCCTCGCCTGAATGACAAAGGTCACTCAGGCGAGTGAGGTCTGTTACTCCTCTTTTTCTGCTACTGGACTTCTTCTTCCTTTGGAGTTTTCTCCCCTCTCCGCTCTCTTCTTCTCTCTCTGGGGTGTTTTGTGTGTTGTATTTCCACTCAGATCTGTTTTTTTCTGCTGGGAATGCAGCCCCCTTTATAGAGCTTGTTGCCAGTTCTTCTTCCAAGATAGTCTCCCCATGCTTGTGAATTATTTATTCCTCCCAATGCTTTGTGTCTTGAATCCGAGAATTGACTGGTCTCTTGCCCTTCTCCATCACTGGTATCAGCTGCAACATTGATCAACATGGGCGGTTGGGAGTCTAACCAAGGGGACAAGCATGCCCTTGGATGGGACACACTTATTAACTTCCAATGTGTCTTGTGTCTTGGAGTTGCTTTTTTTTGACCAACTCAGCCCGCATTTTAAATTGGAATCAGCAGCCCAATTATTGCGCCATAAGCCCCCATTTTCAGCATTTGTTCACTCCGGTCCTCACCTATTTAGAAACACAAAACTAGCTAAGTAAATGAACAAAGTCTAAGAAACACCCCTAATTTCTAACTAATTAAAGAGCAAAATTGCAATGCTTTTATGTAACAATTTGACCGTTATCAACTCCCTCAAACTGGAAGAATTGCTTGTCCTCAAGCAAAACAATCTAACACCTTAAGAACTACACATAGAAACAAGAAAACAATAGCTAAACACTGACTCCCCTGAGTGACAAAAGCCACTCAGGCAAGTGACACTGCAACAAACACACAAGAACTTCACAGCAACTACCAAACATAGCTAGTTCATATGACAATCGGATACAACATCTCAGATGCAAGAAAAATATGTATATCTTCATCCAAATTCGAATTTCACCTAGTCTTTACGAAATCACCTCCGTGTGTGTGTGAATCATGCCAAGTATGCAAAGTAACAAATTAGTATAAGGTAAATAACTGCTCATGGTGCATAGTTAGATATTTCTTAGCCTTATGACTCATTCTTTCTTACCACAATCATGCTAATGTGGCCAATACAGCCTTAGAGATATAAAGACTCTCACACTTCATTTCTTTTCAACTATTCTCCCTCATTCCCTTTTATTTACCTCCGAGTCTTTTGGCTTTTTCTATTTATGACTCATGGTTCTTTTTCTTTCCAACTTCCGACCCCTCCTACCGAGAGCTTTCGATAGGAGACTTTGCTTTCCAGGCCAAAAGATCACTCATTGTTGCCATTTCACTCTAAGAGTTTTAGCATTGATGCTCTATCTTATACGCCCTCAAGTTCTTTTGAACTTTTTTATTTACTCATTTTTGAGCATTCCGCCTACCAATTCCCAAAGAAGGTATTAGAGAGGGTCATTAAGCTTGCCTTAGTCAACTCTTTAGCATCTAAACAAACCACATTTCGCATTCAAGTGGTAGTAAGAAAAGTCATTTAAATATTTTAACCAATTTAGAACACCACAGAGCATGTTATGAAACTCAACTTCAATGTAACTAAGCATAAAAGGCATGTGTGCTTAAGTAGTGTAGAGATGATAACCAAGAGTTAGGTAAAATAAAAATTTAAATTAAATATAAGAAATTAAGTACATTAGTCTTCATAGATATCCAATTATCATAGAACTAGCATTCACAAAAAAATCAAAAAAAAAAAATAAAAATTATAAACATGCTCCCTACTACTCCCCCAAACTTATTCAAAGCATTGTCTCCAATGCTGACAAACAGATCACACAAAAACAAAAATAACAACAAAAATAGTTCACAGAAACAAAAACAATTCACAACAAAAACTGTGTGGTCAATTGCAGGAGTGATATTCTCATTCCTATGAGTGAGGTAGAGGACTGATGACTTCCCTGAGTTGGAGCAATTGAAATGGATGAGGAGGGGCTTCATGATGCACATCATTCAACATATCTGTTGGATTTGTTGCAAGCTCTATGTTGTGTTGAAATATACTCCATACAAGGGATCGCGACATCCTTGTACAACAACCTAGAATTGCTACATCAGAACACAAAAACATTCAGCAGCTATAAGAGTTTTGAATTTTTATTTTTCTACAGTGTCACTCGTTGGAATGACTTTGGTCACTC